CCCTGCCCGTGGCGCAGCTGCCGGTGTTCGCGCCCTTGGCCGCCGCCGTGGCCGCTGAGCCGCTGCCCACCAAGGACCTGTGCCTGGGCGCCGGCCCCGGGCTGGGGCCCGCCAAGTGCGGCGGCAGCGGAGGCCACGGCGGGGACCGGGACGGCCGGGGCGCCCCGCGCTTCCGTTGCAGCGCCGAGGAGCTGGACTATTACCTGTACGGCCAGCAGCGCATGGAGATCATCCCGCTCAACCAGCACACCGGCGACCCCAACAACCGTACGTAGCGCGCCCCGCGCTCGGACCGGCCGGGCTGTGGTGGGGGAGCGGCCGGCCGAAGTCCTGCGGGTCGGGGAGGAGCGCGGGGTTCCTGCGGGGGCCCCTGCAGCCCTGCTGCCCAGCCGCGGAGTGGGACCGGCGTCCGGCCCGGGCCGTGTGACCTCTGCCCCCTGCCGGACCACGCGGGGGAAGCCTGGGCAGCCCCACGGCCTGGCTTGGACCGGCAGCGGCGCGCCCCGAGTCCGGGTCCGCTAGTCCCCGCTTTATCTCCAGATTGGCCGCGTCCGCGCTCGTTCGGCCTCGGTCGTCCGGGGACCGCCTGGAGCTCCGGGCTGCGCCCGAGTGGAAGTTTTGGGTGACAGCGGACTTGTCTCTTCCTGCAGACAGGCATTGGTCTCGGGTCTACTATTTATTGAGAAAAGATAGAAAAGAGAAGTGCCGGCTACTTGGAGAAAAGAAAATTCCCAACTTCTGGGCAGGATCTTGCCTTGCGAATCCCGCGTTCTCCGTGCACTCTTGATCAGGCAAACGCTTGCTATCCGTGCTGGTTTAGTTTTTAAAGTTAAGGGTGGTAGATTTTTACAAAAACAAGCTTACTCTCCTCTTCCCCAGGTAAATGATAAATACCTATATAAGCAGTAGGTCTCAGCTAGCTTTATTTCCACGCTCACAGTGTCAGACGTTTATCCACACAGTACTGTAGAATTCTATTTCAAGATTTAGAGTTCAAACTCTTAAGTGAAAATCAACAACCTGTATTGCTTTATATTTCGTTTTGCTAGGCAATTTCAGAAGTTATGATATGTTTACAACTAAGGTTTGGGGGGTTAAGTGTTAAGTATACTTTTAGAGACCTTTTTCGATAACATTAAAACAGATTAAGAATGTCAGAGCAATACAGGCTTTTGAAAAATCAGCATGCATTCAGCTGTTTTTTGGTCTCATCCTTTCATCTGGTGTCTCTGAGAAAAGTTGATCATACATATTTATTTGTATTCTATTTTGAATAAGTTGCTCCACGAACTTCTTAATTTGTTGTAAGAGTAAAATAACTTAGGTCGCAGACTCATTGCTTTGATGGAAAAATATCAGGCAGCAGCCTAGTGATTGAGCTGTATTAATCATTTCATAATAGTTGGGGGTAATTGTCATGAAAATAATACCAACAAAAAGAGCAGTTATTAATTTTTTTTCCATTTCCAGATTCTGAGAGTAAAATACTCGTTTAAAATGGGATTTTCAACTCTTAAGTTTTTGTGTGGTCGAGGACTGTTATAGTTCAGAGTTTCAAGACATTTTCTAAAATTATGTTGTCTGAATAAATTTCAGATACTTATTTCTTAGTGAATTTCTTACATGTGTTTTGAATAGAACGGTTCTGAATAGAAATAAAAGTTAAAAATGTTTTAGAAAATGTATTTCTTACTGGGAGTTTGGAGTGCCTCATCAAGTTTGCAGTTTCTTTTCTGAATTTAAATCTGTGCTAGAAAAGACACCATGAGCCATTCCCTAGTCCTGGCTGTGTGTTAAACTCCTTGTGCGGTTTACACTGCAGTCTTGATACTCAATACATTTTCACTGGAGAAAACAGACTGACCACAGAAAGAACTAGGATAAATTACTAATTAACATATAAGTATTGAATCAGTTTACTGTCTGGATATATCTTCCTTTTAAAGGTGATGAATTATGATTTTATTTAAAATATTCCTGTTGTGTTAATGTTGATATCTGCCTTTGAGTCCGCTGGACTGCTTCGGTGTTCAAAGTGTGAAAGAAAATATAGACAGAAAGAAAGTTAGATTGTCTTATTTAGAGCTATGCCACGGGTTGCTCACTAATTAAATGCTCTTTGAGAAGGAAAACAAAGCAGAGGTAGCTTGGAATAACGCTGGTGGGCCGGGCCTCCCCTCTCCAGGAAGCAGGTTTAGGCAATTCCTTTGAAAAACACTCTTGGGTGTATTTTACAAAACTGAAAGGCCAGTTAGTTAACTCTAAGTAGGGGCATAAAAGAAGTCAACCTGACTGGAGAAACTGAGAAACAGTCTCCCTTGGCTTGGGAAGTTGGTATGTGGATCACTTGAAAGACTGAAGGCAGGAGTGTCCCCTCGTCCCTCGTACCGGTGGTGCCCATGGGCCGGTGTGATGTGGGGCAGGGCAGAGGCAGAGGCAGAGAGAAGTCGCTGTTAATTTAGCATGTGTATATTTCTAGAGTTTTCTTTTTTTTTCCTTTGGCTAAAGAATTCAGCGATGCTTCATTTTGTCACCTTGTATTTAAAAGCTGATCTGTCATTTTTTTCTTAACTAGGGGAAAAGGGGGGCCTGTTGACTTCTTCCTTCCCTTTAGAAGCCTAACTTTTTTCCTGGGATCAGCAATACAGTACCGTTGCTTGTTAAGAAAAGAACTCAGTAATACTCATTTCACCCTGAAATTTTATTGGCATTTATGGCAAATGCCACAGTGAAGGGGCTTATAGTCCTTACACACACACACACACACACACACACACACACACACACACACGAGCTCCTCCATGCATCATTTTACTCTGAAGTACACTTTCCACAGAAGCTTCCAGTGCTTAGCTGCTTTTTCCCTTCTCCCAAGTCCGGTGCTGCTGCCGCCGCCGTCCACACACATGGGAGCTGGGCTCTTTCTTGTATTGCTGCCCTCATTTGCTGCTGGGTTTCCCAGTGCATTGATTCTACCATGCTCTATCACAGTGGCTGCTTCTCAGGTTTTGGAGCTGTTGTCTGAGACCTGTCAGTCCTTTAGGCAGGGTAGCTGGAGATGGTGAGGAGTATGCCTGGTGTTTGTATGTTTGTAGGGAGGACCTGGGGTCATCTCTCCATAGAGCCAATTAGTTTTCACACCATTTTGTGAAGAAATCCTTCCCTTCTGTCTGAGAAGAAGACAAGCAATAACTGTTAGGGTGTGTGTGAGTAGAGTTGGGTTAGCTGGCAACCTCCTCAGCTGGGGAAGGGACTCTAACTGTTCCCTCCTGATTTATGGAGACTTCCTGCCAGGGAACAGACCTGGTGTGTGCTGGGCTATAGGAGCAGGGCTGGAGGGTCTGTAGCTAGCAGCACCACAGTGGCCAAGGGTTGGGGAGAAGGGCTGGAGAGAAGGAAATCCAGCTGGGAGCCTAGGTCTGAGATGGGAAAGAGGGGAGGGAGGGCAAGAGTGGGTTACTTGCTTGCTTCTTCCCATTCTTTCTTTCTCTTTTTTACTGCCCTTCCCTGATCTCTTCCCACCCATTGGAAAATTTTGGTACTGTCTGGGGAGCTTCAGGCCCAGGACCACTACCAGGCCCACCTCCTTCTGTGCCAGCTAAGGTGTCCTCTTGTGCCTCTCCTGCCCCACATCCCTTTTGTCAAAACCCAGCAACGACTTGGATTTCAGATCTGGGGCCTGGTAGAAGGGAGGCTCCTGTCTGGGTGTGGGCTTTTGTGCTGCCCCCCACGCTTGCTTTTTGTGAGTAGGCTGGGCCCATCCTGGAACACACATGATTTAGCTATTTTACATCATCCATTATCTAGCACCCTGAAACTGAACATAGAGCCATATATTAGATTGAGGTTAGAAGAGGTGGCGACTGTTTATTTAAGGTGATAAAATGGTCCATCAGCAGTAATCTCCATCGATATGTGCCACTAGGAGATGAAGGATGAGGGGACAAGCTACAATTAATTGCCCTATAGTTTTGTAGGGGAGAGTGGAGCCAGCCCAGGCCCTCTTCGATCTCCTCTCCAGCTCCTATTCATCATCTCACATTGTCCACGCGGCCTCACAGGGCAGGGCCGGCCTGCAGCTTTATCTCCGCAGCGTGCTGCCCTCTCTCGATGGCACTCCCCTAATTTATTAATACAGTCACTGGGAGACAAAGCCAGGGTCCTCCCTCTCCTTCTTCCCTCCCCTTTGTCTCTCCCACTAGGTCCAAGGCTGAGCCAGCCAGTTAGCTGGAGGTAGCACAGGCAGCAAGGTCCTCCGGCAGGGTGCCCCAGCCCAGCACCCTCTCTGAGGCCTCCGATCAGCCTCGGAGCTATTTGGGGATGCAAGGACCCCTGCTCTGTGGATCAGGACTGGGTGGGTGGTGGTGCAGGGGCACCCTGAGGTCACTTCAACTTGTCCCATCCTCTAAGGGGAGCCCTGCAGAAGGGAGCCCTGAGGGACTGAGCAAAGGTACCCAGGGGGTGCTGGCCTCCGGTTGCTCCATCCACCTCTCACCCATCTCAGCCTGGCTGCACAGCACTGGCTACCAGCAGGCGGCACTAGGTCACCTCCCGGCTGAGATGTGCAGCAGCCACAGGGCAAGACCTGTGCTTTAGGGCCCTGACCTCTGGGTTGGGGAGGATGCATGGTCCAGTGGATTCCGCTGCCCAGGCGGGTGGGAGTCGGATATTTTCATTTCCTTTTATAAGGGTAGGAGGTGAGGACAGTATCAGAAAAACCTTGAGCAGTACATGCCTGCAGTTTCCAACACTGGGGACTGCTCCTGCCCTCAACGCCCATCTGATTTTGTATACTTAAAGTGTTAGTATAGCATGTATTTTGATGGCAATCTGTCGACTTTTCTGAAAGTATATTGTGATATAACTTGAAGTGATTCTCCAACTAAGATTCATATTACGTGGCCTAAGTAAAAGTGGACTGGTTGCTCTAATTCTGCGGTGCACCAGAACCTCTGAAGTGTTTTATAGTTTACCTTTCCTAGCATGACAAAGAAAAAAAATACCCTGATTGCCCCCTTTCCCTTAAAGTAGGTTTATTTAAAATAATAGAAGATGTATATGTACTTGTAAAGCCAGTCACAGATAAGAAGAACTGAAAAGAAAGGTGACATTTGCTCTTCCAGGTCAGGTCTGCAGCCCAGGGCAGCCCTGCGGTCCTCAAGGATGCGGACAGAGCTCATCAAGACAGAAGAGGGACCAGGGTTCATATACTCCTGCTGCTAACGTAGTATGCAGTGCATCTCACTTGGAGGATATGGAAATACTTTTCATGAACAGAGAAAACTCTTGATGAATAATAATTATGAATGTGTACAAAGGCATTTTCTCTAATTTTAAGGGAGTGGGAACTTTTATTTACCTCCTGCTTATGAATGCAGATGGATTTATATATAGCTTGCCTGGAATGTTGTGTATGTGTGTAAAATATGCTGCTATATAAAATATAGAATATGTCGTACATGTGTGTTTATCTATAAGTAGATTGCTTCCCTGTCAAACCTAATACAGGTGTTTATGACTAGAAATATTTTTGTACTTGAATGTCAACATGTGACGTGTTTGCCCACTGGGAAATAAGTTACTCTTTTAAACACTCAAGCTCCTCTGGGTTAGAAGTCAGAAGTTTTCAGTTGAAATGATTTTGTATACTTAAAGTATTGATATAGCATGTATTTTGATGGCAATCTGTCAACTTTCCTGAAAGAATATTGTGATACAACTTGAAGTGATTCTCCAACTAAGATTCATTTGCATGGCCTATGTAAAGTGGACGGGCTGCTCTCGTTCTGCGGTTCACTTAACAAACAGGTGGCTTCCTCAGATATTGGGGAAACCTCTGTTATTATTCTGCAAAATGTGATTAAGGTTATTTGAGGTAGAGAAAATAAAACTTAGTAAGCTGAAGAGGGCTTTTGTGAAAACACTGTAGTTTTTTTCTTATGCATTACAAATATTTTGTGTAAGTGTGTTTCCTGAGTCTTTGGGGAGAATGACTGGAGTTCATTCTTCCTCATTTTATTACTGATGTAGTTGATGTGATGTTACATGTATCAATGTAAGAAGCTGATAGGATCGCTGGTACAAGCTTTTAGGAGTTGTTTTTAGTTAGTTTGGCTTAAGGTGCTGAAAGGCCATTTCTGTAGTTAAACACATTAAAATTGTGGGCATTATCAGTTAGTGCTCTTCCTCATCCTCAGCTCCTAGGGTGTGGGGGAGAAATGTCGGACTCAGGCTGCGGCAGTGTCTGTGGTCCTCGGATAATAGTCTCAGTAAAATATTTCCATGCTGTTGATTGAATCATGAGTTTGAGTATAAAATTCTTCAGCTTCCAATAGCTTTTTCCTGATTTCAGTTTGGAAACACTGGTGTCAGGGAGACTCAACTGTGAATCTCTTCTCTGCCACCTTCTAGCTTCCTAAACCTTATCAGCTTACAGTGCTTGTGAAGCTGCATCTGCCTTATCTGTACAATGGGAATCATGTACTTAGATAACATGGTGATAGTTTGGTCCGAGACAGAGGCACAGCATGTAGAAGGTTCTTAGAAATCATGAGTATTTAGTCTTTCTGTGCCCACACTGTTTTGAATTTTTTTTATTTCCACAGTAAAAAGCTTGAGTGGGTGGAGTATGTCTTTTTGAGGAGCTGACACATGGATAAGTGCTTGCATACTCCCACCTAGGCCTTTGGCTTTGTTTACAGCTGATGCATGCTGCTGGCAGGAGAAACCTTTGGGTTAAAGGAGGCTCAGGCATATGAAACCCACTCTGCAGCAGAGGCCTGAGGACCCTCCTAAAGAGCCGCAGTCAGAGGCCCCCTCCTTCCTTGGGCTACACTGGGTGGAGTGAAATGGAAACTGTGACTCCTAGGATAGGATGCTCCAATAACCAACATTGCTTATTAAGAAGCTCACCGTGCTGGGTTGTAATTTCCTGTTCATTCACAGAAACTTTCTCCTTGATGGGTTTGTAACAGATTCCTAAGGGAGTTTCAGCCCAGATAGGGTATATCCAGGGTGACCCATCAGGACCAGCTGTGCTGAAGTCCTGGCCTCTTGCCCTTATGTCCATCGAGGGTTGGGCAGGACCCTGGATTGAGCCCTGCCTGAACAGTTCTTGGTCCCCAGCTCTCACCATCTCTGCCAGTCTGGCCTTGTCCGGAAGTCTGGTCCGGTCCAGCGCCGCAGGCTCCCCTGGAGGCCGGCCAGGGATGGAGACTCGGAGGCTTGCTGCGGTGCGGCCCGTGCCTGGCCTGGTAGGTCCACGTGTGGCCTGGCCAGGAAAGGTCGGAGAGGGGCGGCCTGACTACAGCTGCTGTCCACAGCAAAGCGCGAAGGATGCAGCACCTTTGTCATCGGCGGACTGGGCCTCTCCCCGCGCTGCAAAGCGCAGGGAACATCGCACCGGGTTTCGGGCGGGACAGGGCGCATGTGTCTCATCCACGTCCTTCTGCAGCTCCCCTTGGGCCCGGGCCGGCGTCCAGGCTCCCATGGGCTGGGCCAGGCCGGCTCCTCCTGTGACAGCTTTGGAGCGCCATCGGTTGCCACTCTCTTGGGGGTGTTAACCCTTCCCTTAACCCGGTGAAAAGGGGAAAACGTGTGCCTAGGACGAGACGTGGACCATGTACGGTGGGGGATACGCGCCTGCTCTGGCCGGAGCTCGCGGGCGGCGGAAGAGGGAGGCCGGGCAGCAGGGCCAAGAGCTCTGTGAGCTGAGCAACGAGGCCCGGTGCCGGTGCCAGGCGGGTTGGGGCGCGGGGGCGCGGAGCCCGGTAGGGCGGATCGCCTCCGGTGGCCTCTGGGATGGGGTGCAACCCTGGAGCCGGGGCACCCGCTGAACCCCTCTTGTCTCCGCAGGCTGCGACATGTGCGCCGACCACCGCCACGGCGAGTGCCCCATGCACGGCCCGCTGCACTCGCTGCGCCGGCTCGTGGGCACCAGCAGCGCCGCCGCCGCCGCGCCACCCGAGCTGCCCGAGTGGCTGCGGGACCTGCCGCGGGAGGTGTGCCTGTGCACCAGCACCGTGCCCGGCCTGGCTTACGGCATCTGCGCAGCGCAGAGGATCCAGCAGGGCACCTGGATCGGGCCCTTCCAGGGAGTACTGCTGGCCCCAGACAAGGTGCAGGCGGGCACTGTGAGGAACACGCAGCATCTCTGGGAGGTGAGTGAGCCGCTGCCGAGCACCCACCAGACTGGCCTGGCCGGGAGAGAGAGCCGAGGGCCCTGGGCAGTGGAAAATGGAGTTCTCTGGGTTTGGACTTTAGGCCGGGATTGAAGCACCTCTAGCAAGGAGCTAGGAGAGCTGCATCCCGCAGGAGGCAGGGCCTCTGGTTCTGACCCAGCCGCCTTACCCTGCCTCCGTTTCACCAGCGATGGACTTGACCATTGGTCTCTGAATTTTGAGTAAGAACAGAAAACAGCCCAGGAGATGGCACAGAGCATGTTAAGCCATTAGGCCGTAGAGGTAGGACTGTGTGACCTGGGGGTCTCAGCCCAAGCTCTGCCCACGTTTCTGTGCCTGGGGAAGGAAGGTAAGCCTAGTCAGCCCTATTTCCTTGGGTAAAAACAGCCTTGTGAATGCCCGGTGTGAGTGACCAATACACATCGCACAACTTTCAGAGTGCCCAAGTTCTTTGCAAGTTATAGTGTGGATCAAAATCACAAAATTAGCTTCTTTCTCCACAAAGTAAAATTACACAGTTTCAATAAAGTAGAAAATAAAAATGTGGGAAAATTAGCATTTTTATATAAGCCAACACCTGATGCTATTATTTTAAAATGGCCTGTGTAAAAAATGTCAAACTGAGAGTTCTCCCAGGACTTCTGTTTGCTTACTGAGGTCTGCTCCTGAAGGGGTAGATACTTACCATTCGGCCCTCCCCTCTCTGAGTTTTACTACCCTCATCTGTGCAGTTAATTATGAAACTCATGGTGCTGGAAGCCTTCACCTTAAGTAACGTGCACATCTGACCAGCTGGCCACATGAAATAATGAAGTAGGAGCTTCTCAGTGGCTAGGGCCCCAGGTGACATGGGCCTTAGGGTGCCAATCATGGACTGTTTTGGCAACAGTTTGTCCCTCACACTTTTTTCAGTGGCTTATCGATATTGTGAGCTGCCTCATACTCATTAAATAAAACTCATGAGACTGAATAATCTACTCAAATTTTTGCTGAGGCCCCACTCTGTCTGAAACTGTATGGGACCCAGAAGATATGGCATGTTACAATGCAGACTTGGGTCCGGAACACTCCTGCCACTGTCAGTGTGGGTGCCAAGCCCTGTGTTACAGAGCATCCTTTAATGGAAGAGTGGCTGTGTGTGCCCAGCCCCGCAGGCTGGAGGGAGAGCGTGGCAGCCCACGGCTGCCTTCTCCACAGCTCTCCCCTGGAGTCTTGGGCCCTGATTTCCAGGTTTCATTTCATGCCTATGTTGTTGGAAAACTACATTTTTAGTCTTCCAGGCTAGGAATCCTGAGTGAGGGTAAAAATGGGCATTTTATGTTATCAAAAATGAGCATATTTATATTATCAAAGATGATCTTTGTTTTAAAAAAACAGAAATTTACTTTCTAGAATTCAATAAGGAGAAGATGGTTTGGTGCGTAGATGCCTAGATGTAGGCTGCAAGTTCAAGCTTTTGAATAAGAAAATGACAAGTGGGATATAATCAGAGCATCTGCTTTTGAAAGAGTTCTTATTTGGTTTTTGTTTCTGGCTAGCTATAACTGCCAGTGTAGTTTAAAGTTTATAAAGCACTTTCGGGCACTTTTCATAATTTAGTGGTGTAACTAGGCGTTCTAATATCATACAGTTAAAGGTCTACCAATACTTTTCTGGAGAAATCATGAAGCAGTTGTTCAGTGGCACAGATTTAGTCTATCTGGAAACGTTAAACTGAACACTTTTACATTGCCCTTTGATGCCTATTTTTAGAGTGTAGAGAATGAATCCATAAATGTGAAAAAAATTCCCATAGTTCATTTATGTGTTTCTGTCCTAAGAAGCTCTGAATAATTAGGATACTGGTGTGAGGCCACTGGACATAGAGAATATGATAACATATTATCACTGAAAACTAGGAGCCTTTTGTGCCTTCGCTTGTTCTCAGTGAAGCTAAAATTTTGCTGCAGTAAACAAGCTGGGTGATATAGTTCAGATTTTTGCTTGAAACTTAGTAGATAAAAGTGAATTTTGCCTGTTGTTTAGAGTATGATAGTTAAAAATGTAGGGAAGATAGGGGGTTTATGTTATAGAAAAGACTTCTGAATGTATGCTTGGATGACCTATAGATTCCTTCTCCTAAATTCAGGATGTAATTAATTAATTTTTATCACCTGTAGTAACAGTTAGCTATAGTTGAAAGATTGAAGGGATTTTAAAACTTTACCCATGCAAAATGTCCCCTGGGAGAGTACAAACAATGTAATTAACTGGGGACAAGTAATTTAGTGTCAGTGTTTGTTTATAAGATAAAATACTTTTAGAATACATTTCAGATTTTTATTAGTATAATTACTTTTAAGATATAAAGTATAAGTTTAAAACAATTGTAAGCTGGACTGTGTCAACTAAGTTACATTTACAAGAGATTTTAAATGTTGGGCTGTTCTTAAGTGTTAGTCATTCCTTTCAAACCTAAATTCTATTGTGATGCACTTTATGTTAGTCATTATATTTCTTATATGAGAAAAATCAGTAATTGGAATACATGGAAGGTCTATATAAGAAATTTTGGCAATAAGTATTTAATGACATGTAATAAACATCTATTTTCAAATAATATTCTTGGGGCCAGGGAGATGGCTCAGTGGAATAAGCGCTTCCCTGGCAAGTGCAAGGACCTGAGTTCAATCCCCGGTTCAGGAAAAATAAATAAATAAAAATAAAATAAAATAATATTCTCTTAGATATCTTCCAGAGTATCAAGTATACATGATGCAGATTTTAAAAAAAATCAAAGTAGTTAAATCCTGACTATTTCATTTTAAAAGTCAGCTGTAATTGCTTTTTTCTTCCCTCAAAATTTTCAAGACATCTGCTGATACAGAAATGTTTTCGTATTTAGAATTCAATACTCAGATTCTGATAGGTTTTACCAGGGTTACTTATCTTTATTTCAGTACAATAAATAGATCATTAATCTTTTCTTGTCACTGTTTTCAAGTAGATGATGGGTTTTTGTTTTAGTTTACAGTTCATTGTTTTTAGGAAGGTTGTACTTTATTACACACATGAAAGCTTATTACAGAAATAGTCAGATTCACTTTAGTTACAACTTTTGTTTAATCATTAAAAGTTCTATATTCTCTGCAGAAAAGGACTTTTTAGTATATAACAGTATGTAGAGTGTGGTTTGTGTGTAAGCTTTTTTAAGTTAATACTTTCTTTGTGCATTTAACTGTTAAATGTTTTGGTGCTGAGGACCAAACTGAGGGCCTCCTGCTTCCTAGAGAAGCATTCTACCATTGAGCTAAATCCCCAACCCCTCTTTTGCATTTAAGAAAAGTTAAATATATTCTGTCATTTCAGTGTATTTTAAACCTTTTAGGTGTTTTTAGAAATCCCAAGAGCCTTTCTTTCGGTTTTTTTTTTTTTTTTTTTAGTTTAAGGAAATTAATAAATAAAAGTTAAATTAGTCATTTATTGGCCAGTTTATTTTAGTATTCAAATTTTAGTGTGTTCTAAAAATAGTAAATTCAGATGCTTTAAAACAAAACATAAGTGCTTTAAACAACCATTTTGTTTAAATACATTTGCTCCAACAAGATTTAGATGTGTAATACATTGCTAGCTGTTTGGACATATTAGGAAAAAATCTGAAAGTTTTGGAAAGAAAATAGAATCTTTCTCAGCAATTAGTTCTTATTGATGAATGTGAGATAATTTTATCCTAATGTGTTTTCTAATAAAGAGAACAGGCACAGTTGATTCCAACATTTATGAAAACATTATCTCAATTATTAATGTGCCCTTTTCCCTTGCGATAAATTAATCTAGTTGCACATGGTTTTCCCTTTCTGCTTAACGTCAGAATTTAATATGAGTAGACCTGAGGAATGTACACAGTGTATACTTAAAACTCTAGTGGAATGGAATACGGAAGTTTAAAATGAAGTTACAATTTAAGATAGACTAGAATTACTCAGGCTTTTCAACCAAAGTGTGATTTGACAAGAAATTTTAGCAAAGGTGACAAAATAAAATACAGTTGTTTTCAACCTAAAGTAATTCTGCTAATTGAGATAATGTAGTGGCTTGTTAGGATTACAGTCAAGGCACGTGAAGGGATTTGATTTTATAGAATCTGTCTTCTCTTTGCCTGAGTAAACTTGAGTATGTCATTTTCATTTGAACTATGGAAACCTTCACTATTTTTCTTCAGAAAGTCAAGGAGGATAACATAATATGGGGCTTTTTGTGGTTTGATTTTGTGCCATACTCTTTCAGATTTAATAAGAATTTTACTTTTAACCAAATGGGCAAATTTTTCATCATTACCATTTAGCTTAGGTCAAAGTATATTAATGAAAACTAATAGTAAAACTATATTACACATTGCTAAATGTTTTTATTTTAAAACCATCATAGATAATTGGTGCTAGGAGGAAATGAATTGATTTCATATTTTAAATGTGTTACATATGTTTTTATAAATGACCTGGTTCCATATATGTAATACTCTACCCATTTGTTTATATTTAGATGTTTAAAAATCATTTTAAATTAATCATTTGAGTTAAAATCATTTAATTTAATTGGTGATAGTATTGTAACTATATACTATATATTTTGCTATATAGATTTTAGTTTTTGGTCTAATTTACTAAAACACCAAGGGATAGAATTATGTAGCTGTCACAGTTACATTGAAGTAAAAATTATGTTTCTTAGCAATTTATCATTTAATATACTACCTTGTGTGTCAGGTTGGTTTTGAATATGTCAGTCTTGTGAAACTCAAATAATTTCTTCCTAAAAGCCATAGTAATATTATGATATGTTTTAAATTATGCAGAGTAGCAGCTGGTGTATCTCTCTGGCTTTGCCTCATTTGATTTGAAGATGTCTTTCACAGTGCTGCCCATTTGATAGAGTGTCAACATTTTGTAGTTTTACATAAACTGTAAAGCCATCTGCTGTCTCTTGGAATGGTTTCCAGC